AATAACAAATAACAACAAATATGACTACATGAACTACCCCAACTTATTATCACTATACATGGTGATTATTTTTCTTGTTGAACTGTCAGGCTAATTTTTAACTTTTTACATCTTAAAACAATTGAATCATGTCAAGATCTGCAGAAGACCCTGCATGGCAACATGGGGTCAGACTTGATCTCAACAAAAAAGACAATTATTTGTAATTACTGTCAAAGAGTGATAAGTAGTGGGGTACATAGGTTCAAGCAACACTTGGCAGGGGTTTCTGCATGCACTAGTGTCCCTAGTAATGTAAAAAAACAGATGGCGGCAATTCTTAATGCTAACAAAGGTAAAAAAATTGTTAAGCATACGATGAATGAGAAGATAGCTAGTTTATATACGCCATCAAGCAGGAATGATACAGAAGAGCAATATAATAATGATCTACAAGAGCAATATACTAATGACCTGAACATGGCCACAAGATTGAGTTTACATGAACAATATCAGAGGGAACGTGGGTTTAGAATGCCCGATGGGTCTAGCTCAGACATGCATGGTGGGCCTAGCTCAGACATGCATGGCGGGCCAAGCTCAAGCATGTATGGCGGGGCCAACTCAAATATGTATGGAGGGGTTGGTGGCAATATGTATCAAGGAGAATCAAATGTTGAAGAAATTGTTTCTAGGTTACCTAGGAGTGCCAGTATTGCAGGTCATGGTCGTAAAGACCCATTTCTCTCAAAGCCTAAGTCACAACAAATGACCCTAAAAGACATGGATAAAAGTTCAAGAAACATGTTGGGGAGATATGTTGGTAAATGGTTCTATGATAAAGTGATTCCCTTTGACGCAGCCAATAGCCCATATTTTTCACCTATAGTCAGTACAATCCAAAGAGTCGGGCCTGGGGTAAAACCCCCGACGGCATATGAGCTCAGTGGGCCAATATTAAATGAAGAGGTGGAGAAAGTTACAAAGTGGATTGAAGAATATAAACAGAGTTGGCCAAGGACAGGCATTACTCTCATGAGTGATGGTTGGTTGAATAAAGTTAGCAAAAGTTTTTAAACTTCTTGGCCTATTCCCCAAAAAGATACAGCTTTTTTGTTTAGCAAAGAAGTATCAAGGACGAAGAAGGATACAAACTTCTACGTACGACTATATGATCAGATAGTGGAAGAGGTGGGAGATAAGCATGTAGTCCAGTTTATTACGGACAATGCGCGTGCACGTGTTTCTGCGGGCAGCAAGTTGATGGATAAGAGGAAGCATCTAGTATGGACCCCGTGTGCTGCACACAACATCGATCTTATGTTAGAGGAGATCGGTGAGATCAAAATTGTGAAGGAGACTCTAGAGGAAGCAAGGTTGGTGTCGAGATTTATATACAACCACTCTAAAATTTTATTTCTGTTTAGAGAACACTCTAAGAAAAAAGAGATAATCAGGCCTGCCATAACCCGTTTTGCAACCGATTACTTAGCTGTGGACTCCATTCGAGAATCTGAAGGTGCATTAAAGAGATTGTTTACCTGTGAAGAGTGGTTAAATGACCGCCTCTCGAAATCCAATACCGGTATAAAAGTGGACAACATAGTCTCAAATAGGCAGTTCTGGTCTCGATGTTCTAGTGTTGTAGAGGCCACTGCCCCTTTGGTCACGGTATTAAGAATGGTGGATGCTGACAAGAAAGCTACCATGGGTATCCTTTATGAAGGTATTGAGAGGGCGAAATCAGCTATTAGGGAGAAGTGTAGTTTTGCTAGCAAAGTGATCGAGATTATAGAAAGGAGGTGGAACACCAAATTTAGACGTCCAATTCATTATGCTGGTAAATATATATTTATATCATTACAATGTTTCATTTTAAATCATTTTTTTATGAAATTGTAAATGACATTTTTCTATTTATATATTTTGTAGGTTATTACTTCAACCCAAAATTTTTCTATTTGACACCTGAACATCCCTACAAGATTATGGAAGGGGTCAGATACATTATTGCAAGGTTGGAGAGAAGCCATCGAAACCAAATAGCAGCAATACAAGAGGTATTATATAATGTTTAGGTAAGAACTTCATTGAGTTGTTATATTTGTGAGGAATAATGTACTAAAACGTAATATATTTGTTTTAGCTTGCTATGTATAGGGATGCTATAGGATCCTTCGGAATTAGACTTGCCAGGAATTCTCGAACTATGATTGATCCAGTTATCCCCTCGCTAATATTTTGTTCATTTAT